GTTGGGCTGGCCCATGGGCCGTCCCGTAAACAGGTGGGCCCAACCTAGCAAAATCGTTGCCGGGACCACCTATACATTTGTCGACAAATTTTCTACTAAAAATTTAACAGATGTAATTATAGTACAATCATAGTGTAATTACACTGTAACTTGTATGTAATTACACTGTAACTTGCATGTAACTACAGTGTAACTTGTATATAAGTTTCACGTAATTTTGAATCGTTAGATCTATTACAAGATTTGTTCTGGTGAGGAAGAAAAAAATCACAGCACACACATATGTGAAAGGATTTATTCCCAGGACCTATATTTTACTGAATAACATGTTGCCGAGAAATTCTTGAAAGTTACATACAAGGTACATTATAGTTACAGTGTAATTACATGTAAGTTACAGTGTAATTACACTACGATTGTACTGTAATTATATCTGACAAATATTAGGGGGAGAAATTTGATGACAAATATCTAGCAAAATCGTTGCCATTTTGCAGACTTACTTGCCGGGACAGACGCCGGCGGGGCTCCGGAGCTACCGGAAGAATGACCTCCAGCAGAAGCGCGGTGACGGCACTGGCGAGAGGGAGGCCGACGACCGTGTCTACGACTACGACGTTTACAACGACCTCGGTAACCCGGACAGCAACGGCGATCTCGCCCGCCCCGTCCTTGGCGGCAACAAGCAGTTCCCCTACCCTCGCCGCTGCCGCACCGGCCGCCCCCCCTCCAAAAAAGGTTCGTGAGAGAAATTTTACTGTTCTTGAAAAAGTATCTCAAGGTACCTAAATTTCACAGTAAAATTTTCGATAACTCAGGGTACTTAGTAACTACATATATCAAATTTTACACTAATGTGGTACTTCTGGTACCATCTTCTCAAGAATGGTAAAATTACCCGTATAACGGATTACGTATAGTCGTTGTCGTCTCCGGTGGCGACTGATCGAGTTTTGGACAATGTTGCAGACCCTAAGTCGGAGACGAGGAAGGGCAACGTGTACGTGCCGAGGGACGAGGAGTTCTCACCGGAGAAGGAGGACTACTTCCTCCGCAAGACGGTGGGGTCGGTGCTCCAGGCCGCCGTGCCGGCGGCGCAGTCGCTGCTCCTCGACAAGCTGAAATGGAACCTTCCGTTCCCGTCCTTCTTCGTCATCGACAAGCTGTTCGAGGACGGCGTCGAGCTTCCCGGCGTCGACAAGCTCAACTTCCTCGAGAGCGTCGTGCCCCGCCTGCTCGAACACCTCCGCGACACCCCCGCCGAGAAGATCCTCCGCTTCGAAACTCCGGCCAACATCCAAAGTAGGCATCGAATTAAACCGAACAGCTTCACCTCGATCGCCATTGATTCTGCAGCATTCCAAGTGTCTAATGGTGTTTGCTGTGTCTTAACTGCAGAGGACAAGTTCGCATGGCTCAGAGACGAGGAGTTCGCGAGGGAAACGCTCGCTGGCATCAACCCGTACGCCATCGAGCTCGTCAGGGTGAGTCTTCATGTCAAGAATTCAGATATTTCGATTCGGATTTTAGAGAAAGTTTGTCAATGTTGTGCAGGTTTTGATTTTGGTTTGATTTTTGCTCTGTGAGTGCAGGAATTTCCGCTGAAGAGCAAGCTCGACCCGGCGGTGTACGGTCCGGCGGAGTCGGCGATCACCGCCGATTTGCTGGAGGAGCAGATGAGGCGCGTGATGACGGTGGAGGAGGCGATCAGCCAGAAGAGGCTGTTCATGCTCGACTTCCATGACCTCTTCTTGCCGTACGTGCACAAGATCCGGTCGCTGGATCACACCACCATGTACGGCTCGCGCACCGTCTTCTTCCTCACCGACGACGGCACGCTGCAGCTGCTCGCCATCGAGCTCACCCGGCCGGCCTCGCCGTCGCAGCCGCAGTGGCGGCAGGTGTTCACGCCGTCCACGGACGCCACCATGTCGTGGCTGTGGCGGATGGCCAAGGCCCACGTCCGCGCCCACGACGCCGGCCACCACGAGCTCATCACCCACTGGCTGCGCACGCACTGCGCGGTGGAGCCATACATCATCGCGGCGAACCGGCAGCTCAGCGAGATGCACCCCATCTACCAGCTGCTGCGCCCGCACTTCCGCTACACGATGCGGATCAACGCGCGCGCCCGCTCGGCGCTGATCAGCGCCGGCGGCATCATCGAGCGATCCTTCTCGCCGCAGAAGTACTCCATGGAGCTCAGCTCCGTCGCCTACGACAAGCTCTGGCGCTTCGACACGGAGGCGCTCCCCGCCGACCTCGTCCGCCGCGGCATGGCCGAGGAGGACCCCACGGCGGAGCACGGCCTCAAGCTCGCCATCGAGGACTACCCGTTCGCCAACGACGGCCTCCTCATCTGGGACGCCATCAAGACCTGGGTCCAGGCGTACGTCGCGCGGTTCTACCCCGACGCCGACAGCGTCGCCGGCGACGAGGAGCTCCAGGCGTTCTGGACCGAGGTGCGCACCAAGGGGCACGGCGACAAGAAGGACGCCCCGTGGTGGCCGAAGTTGGACTCGCCGGAGAGCCTCGCCCACACGCTGACCACCATCGTCTGGGTGGCGGCGGCGCACCACGCCGCCGTCAACTTCGGGCAGTACGACTTCGGCGGCTACTTCCCCAACCGGCCGTCCATCGCGCGCACGGTCATGCCGGTGGAGGAGCCCGTGGACGGCGCCGCCATGGAGAGGTTCCTGGACAACCCGGACCAGGCGCTCCGCGAGTGCTTCCCGTCACAGGTGCAGGCGACGGTGGTGATGGCGGTGCTCGACGTGCTGTCCAGCCACTCCACCGACGAGGAGTACCTCGGCGGCGAGCAGACGAGGCCGTGGAACAGCGACGCGGCGGTGCAGGCGGCGTACGACGGGTTCGCAGCCCGGCTCAAGGAGATCGAGGGCGTCATCGATGGCCGGAACAAGGATAGAAAGCTCAAGAACAGGTGCGGCGCCGGCATCCTGCCGTACCAGCTGATGAAGCCCTTCTCCGACTCCGGCGTCACCGGCATGGGCATCCCCAACAGCACATCCATCTGATGAGACAAAACGCTCCAAAACTACTTGCAAATTGATCATTCATCATCTACTGTTTTAACCAATATGTCACTCCCAAATCTTTATTGATTTTTATCATGTTTGAAAAGATAATCGAGAGGTATCATACCATTTTTATAGTCTAAAATTTAGATATTATGTATCTCAAGGTATCACAATGTTTAATGTAAATAAATTTTGTTACCTCAAGATATTTTCTTAGCGACTGTAATTTTTTTCCTCTGTTGGCACCATTCTTATCTGCCTTTTAACAGAGCTAGTACTTTCTATATGAAGATCTTTTAAAAAAACAAATTAATAAATCTATTTTTAATTTGTACTAGTAGTTAATATTTAATTAATCACACGCTAATAATCCAACTCGCTTTACGCGCAATAGACTAACTCAACCTAGCCGCTGAGCGGTCCCACATGTCGGCAGAGGTTGGGCGGTGGTGCAGTATCGGTGCGTCAGCCGTGGACTCGCAGGTGGTGAGCAGCGGGTGAAAATCTAGCCCGGCCTTGGCCGGACTGACAACGATGATTCATTTCCCCTCCTGAGGGCGTTGTTGTGCCATCTTATCCCTCAAGGGTGGTTGCCGGACGAAAGCCCAGTCTTGACTCTTTTGAGATTTTGACGGACGACGGCGGCGGTTTTTCGTCGCTTTCCTCCTTGGAGACGTCGTTTAGGCATTCCCTTGCTGAAACCACTCGAACGATTGGTGCAAGCACGCTCTAGAATAGAGTTGGGCTTTGTGTTGGTTGTAAGGGCTTTTTTGGACGATTTTGTATGTGTTCCTTTGTTGGCCTAGCAGCGATGGGTCGCGCTTAGCGGCAGCCGGTTCAATGCTAGCCTTCTTCGGAACCTGTGTGTTGGCGCTGTCGGTGAGTGGGTAGTGGTATATTTTTTTTATTTTTCCTAGTTACGACCTTACAGGGTTGTAATCTTGTAATTTTTTTCCTACTCTATTAATAGAATTTCGCACTGTCTCGTGCGAGTCGTTAAAAAAAAAACCTAGCCGCTGAGTCGAAAGGTGTGTTAACTGCTAAGTCAAAGATACCTAACTAAATGCAAAATAATTCACTAAGACTTTTCTATTGTACTATTAGCTTTTCTAAAACCAAAGCCGAGTAACAGAAGTGACAAATAAAATCCTAAATGAATCACAATACTGAGATCTACCATTTAAAACTAGCTATGACTTTGAAACATGAGCTCAACATAATCTGGGAGATCGGGATAAGAGGAAACACAAAAAAAAAGTGTGATGGCAAAACCGTGGATGTATAACTCTATCCATCAAGGTTCAAACAACTTCTCCGGTGCTCTCAAATCATATACGTGGTTGCGCATTAGTGACTAGATTCAGTCGCTCTTTAACCACTAGTGTCTAACCCCTGGTCTTCACCTTTTTAGCATATATTAAGAGTTACATTTGCAAGTACGAGATTATGGTATATATATATAATGATGTATGTGCGTATACGTCTTCCACATAGTCTTCCACATAGTTATATAGGAGAGAAAATAAAAGAGGAGGGATCGGTAGAATACCCAAAGGACAAGGGACAAAAGGCATATCTCCTGTTGGGCCTAACAGGCCGTGCCAACATATATACCGTTGGGTAATCGTATCATCCTTAAAAATGTATATAAAAGTATTCTATTTTTCAGTGTAAAATTTAGTAGCTCTAGGTACTGAGTATCTCAAGATATTAAAAATTTTAGTGTAAAATTTAGATACCTCGAGGTACTTTCTTGTAAAATTCCTACCATATACCTTGCTGTCCTTTGCCGGCAACCTGCTCGATCACTATATCCCTTTGCCCCTCTCCTCTTCACGTTTCATCTCTCACGTGCATGGCGGCTTCGATGCAAGTATAAACAGGCAGAACCAATTCAGTCTAAAGATTTGGCTACATAAAGCACATCAAGTTTTTGCCACCTCCAGCACGGAACAATTAAGGTTCCAGCATGCAAGAATTCAGGTATTATTATGTCTGAGCTAGCTGCAATGAACATGTCTCATATACATCAAGATTTATCTATGAGTAACTGAGCAAAATTAACATGGTAGCACAGGTAAAAATGTATACAACCATCCAGCATTGCAGGAAATTCTCCAGCTAAGCGAGTTTCTATGAGCTTTTTTACAGCCAGGCTAAATAATCCAGAACAGGCTAATTAAAAGCGATAGGTACAAATTACAGATCATTGGCACGACGCATCCTTCACTGGTTGCAGCAGGTTAAGCGGAACACCAGCATGCCATGATGAGCGCGCCCTTCTCAAGTTCTCAGCGATTAGCTAATGAACGATACAGGAACTTCTGCAGGACGACAGATTGAGAATTCAGAATTCAGAACAAGAAATTCAGTGAGTGTTCAAAGGTAGGTTACTTTTCATTTCCTTTTCCTTTCTTTCACTTCTACATATATATATATACAACACTATGTGCCATGGTTTCCATTACTTATAGTGTGACACAAAAAGACTCATGTGTTTCTTTCCAAATCATCATTTTCAGAAAGATTTCCTACTGGAAAATTTAAATTACCTGCCACCATTTACATTTCTGGATGTCGCAGTTCTTACAATTGCAAAAGAGTTGCCTATCATGCAAGTACCAAGAAAAAGTAAATATATGTAACCAAAGAACCGAGAAATAAAATAACTAGACAAGTACAGGAATTACCTAGGTTATGTTCCCAGATATGGCATTATATCATCATCATCTAGCAATACACCGATGTCAGGGATTGGACTACTACCAATGAAGTCAAAAGGCAATCCATCAAACGAATTCCCATTGAACTTATCAGCAGTACCACTGTCGAAAGGATCTCCCATGAGCTGATTTCCATGGCCAGCAACAGAGGTTGAATTCCTACTACCTGTGGCTGTGATATGATAACCATATGAACTGCTATCAGCCAACACCCCTGTCTCCGTAATAGGCACATGATCATCTATAGATTTTGGTAGTGATTGTTTCATGGGAAAAGAATGATTACCACCTGACGAAGAATTAGTAGTAAAACCAATAGGTGGTGGACCAACATCAACCTGAAAAGTGTCTTCAGACCATGGATTTGTGTGACCATTATTTTGGCATGCTAAAGGCTGATATCCCATATAAATCCTTGAAGGATTAACATTTGTAATCTGGTTGCTGTTATAGTTATTAACCACAGCAGCAGGAGAAGATACGAAGTTCCCTTGAACATATTGATGCTGTAGAGTTTCAGTTGTATTGACATGGCTGAGGCTTGTCATCTGGTTAGCCATGCCCATCATCTCCGTTTGGTTTATTCTGCTCATATTGGGCAATGCATTGCTCACAATGGCTAGTTGATTGTCATCTTTTTGTGTTACCTCAACCTCAGATTCAGCAGTAAGTAAATGACCACTAGGTCTCTTTCTCTTCCTTGATTCATTGGTCCCTTCATTGCTAGGAAGTACTTGATTGGGTTGCTGATCATGGCGTCCTCTGTTGTGTCGACTAGAGGTATGCTCCTCTCTGATCTGCGCAGTTGGCTGACGACGCCCCACATTATCTTTGGATGATGAAGAGCGAGGAGGTTCCTCCAAATGGTCGACATCATACTCATCACTGCTGCTATATATATCATCACTTTTTCCCTCACGAGAACTACGGTGTGTAATCTGTGATCCAACATTGTCAGAACTGCGAAAATATATTTCCTCTCTTCGAAGAACTCCCAGCCAAATCAAGCTCTCTTTAGCAGTCATTTTGTCTTGCAAGCACTTCGATTTCCTTACACAATTCCTGATCTTATCAAAGTTTGGGGCCATGTGTTTGATCACACCCGTCAGCACGCCAACCTTCCAAACCTTCTTAAGATCATGCGGTTTTCTGTATGGTGGTGATATTCCCATTGGAAGGCCTAAAGAAATCCACCAATCCTCATTTCCTGATGGCCACCATGGGGGAGGGACACCCTTATCCAGTGGGTACTTGCGCTGCTGCGGGCTGCAATGCTGCATCAACGATGAGAGCAATGATCCCAGGGTAGCATCCTGGAGATCCATCAAGCTATGCTGGTTCAAGACCCCTCTGCGCTTAGCATCAACCAGCATTGAGTTCTTAACCTCATACTTTGCAATGGCAACCGGCCCATTCACATCGAACCGAACCTTCTCCTTCCACCAAGCTCTAATGTTATCCGATGCACCACTGACAGGCTTCCCTTTATGAGGAATGATCCCATAAACAAACCCACGAGCATTGCACACCTCCATCAGCTTGAGCATGTACCTCAAGATCCCATCCTGGACTCTCGCCGTCTTCTTGCGGAGAGCCTGCTCAGACATCTTCTTTGTTTTGGACTCCTCTAGTGCTGCCTGCTGCAGAGCAAGCTTCTGCTGCCTCTCCTTGATCCTCTTCAGCTTGATCTTGTCTTTCCACATCCGTCGGGCCAGCTCCTCGGCATCAATCTCCTCATCACTGACATCATTCTCCGTGAGGTTCTCGACGCCATCAACCTCAAAGTCAGACGTATCGCCTAAATCCTCCGTGAGAATAGAAGGATTGCCCATTGAATTTACTGCTTCCTACCTTCCTTAACCAAATTATCTCATCACCCGAGACAACTCCTTGTGCTTAGTTGGCTTGTTCAACGATACCATCAAGAGAGGAATCTGCCCAATTTATGCATGTGGTCAGACGCAATACTAACAAAAATAAGAGTAATAGATTAGAATTGCAAAATCATACATGGAAATGTCAAAAACCCATCTAAAAATTTCCCTGGCTTTAATCTGCTAACTCTGTATCATCTAAACCATCAAGAACAGACGCCAGATCAATCCACACATATCATCATCCATCACAACTCACGACCTAAATTCCCAAACAGAAAATGATATGCCCCTTGAATCAAAACTGCACCTCTCACGACGACACGTTTCCGCACAACCTCGCTTGCAAAAGGCCGCAACCCTGCGGGGGATACAGGTAACGGAGACTGATCTCGAACCAATCAAACCCTAAAAAATCATGCGCAGCGAGGAAAAAAAACGGCGCCACCTATCCCTCGACCACAAACCCCCACCCTCAGAACAGCCGAAATGGATTGGCGGCGGCATTGAAACACACATACCTCGTCGGAGATGCCGCTCCCGCCGCCGCCGCCGCCGCGGAGTAATCAGATGAGAATGTCTGGGTTTGCAAGGCAAAAAGAGGAAGAAATGGAGAGAGTCGCTGTGGCGGAAATGGAAAGCAGCCGCGGTGGGATGACGTCACGCAAGAGGCTGGTTTTTTTTTTTGTGCTTTTGTTTTTGTTTCGAGTGTTTTGCCTTTTTTTTTTTCCTTTTTTTTTTACAGATGCTGTGCACTCCTTGTGTTTGTTTGTCTTGCTATCTAACACTTGCAGCCCTGCGTAGTGTGTTAGTAGAACTCAGAACAAATAAAAGATGTTATGATTTTGTTGATACGAGATAATAGGTGGAGTGTTATATTTTTAACAAATTCTGAAGGTTAGAAATTAATATGTTTTTATGCCGGAGAGTGGTGAAATTGTCTGTTGAATTAGCACTGCATCATTGTCATTTAAAAGTAAGAGATATCGACCTCTTGTTTTTGTTGTCGACTTCACGAGTGATGCACTAGCAAACGTGTATCTTAGCAATTAAATGAGCACGATACTTGACTTCTTTCGATATGTGTACGAAACGCTTAGGATGAGTGTAGAGTTGTATGGCGTACATGTATTGTATTTCTGTTAAGTTAATTTATTGAGGTATTGATTTCTTTTTTTTCTTTGTACTAACTAAATGAAAAAAAGGTTGAGAATGTTTTTGTCGCCTCTTACATGACAACAAAATAGGTAATCCTTGTTTTTAGCTTTTTATTGTGAAAAAGATAAGATTACATTTATTAGGATATATGACCAATCCGATAAACTTGATTCCATCCAAGTTTCTATATATAGTGGATTTAGAGAAGGTTCATTGAACCTGGTCGCTCCAGAACACATAAGCAGGCGAGGAAGCGTCTAGGTTCGATGTATCCTCCTCAGTGGTACACAGCCATGGCTCCAGTTGTCCACAAGACAGGGCCCATACAAAGGTTTAGTGTCCGATGGCGTGAGGTTACGGCCCACAGGTCCACTCCTCAACAACAAACCAGAGGCCCATATAGACGATTACCACAATAGTTTATATTTGACCAACAGTATCCCTAAATAGAACCCAATTCTAGAATTGAAGTTTATTTTAGAGTGAATGAAAAACTTGCTCCAATAGTTCTCCTAGAGATGTATCCAAAAAATTGGATTCCTCTTCTCCTCCTATCCACAAGTCGGGAGACACTCGCTCATATTTCCGTACGATCCCCTTCTCCTCCTAGTCAGGAGACACTCTCGCTCCATATTTCCGTACGATCCCGCTGTATCAGTTGGTAGTTAGGGGTAAGTCCACTTTTTATTATTAGGAATTATATATGTTGGAAATAAAAATTTATTTACACCTTAAAATCAAATTAGGAATTCCAAAAACAGAATTTGAGAGAGATTTTTAGGTATATGTCGGACATGCTCTTAAGGTACGATAGCCACATACTTCCTCCGGTCTTAAAAAAAAAATCAAATCCTACAATGAATCTGATTCGTGTTTTTTTTTTGACAGATGGAGTACTGGGAACTGATATATTCTTTTGCTCGTCTTCTGGCACTTGACATTACACAGATAAGACAGTTTCCTGAATGTAGAATTATAGATCAGTCACACGATTACAGCTCAGTTCAAGTAAAGGATACTACAACATAATCATCCCTCGAAAAAAAACTAGAACAAAACTTGACACTGAGAACCTCCTGGCAAACTGTCTTTGCAAGTGCAAAGTCTTTGCCAAGGTTTTTGCTTCTGTACTTTCAATTCTTGCCCCGACCACGCCTAGGTGGCACTGTAGTCCAACCATCAGCGTCAGGAACAGGCTTGGAAGGTTTTGGCTCGTCCACCGCCATCTTCTCCGCGCTGCCTGCTTCATTATCCATCATCGAAGGCTCACCATCGTCATCGTCGTCCTCGTCATCTGAGCTATCATCGTCTCCATCAACCACCATCTGCTCATGAGAAGGAAAACAATTATCAGGGTGTTGTGTTTCCGGTATAGTTATATTTCAGGCTTCCAGCAGACTTGCCAATGATGCAATCGTTATAAAGAGCTTTTGAACTATGCTCCAAGGATTATTCAGGAACAGAACCAATGCTAAAATTGGCAAAATAAGGCAGCGTTCGTTTCTCCAACTGAAATGGGATGAAATTTTAGATACTCGTGGCACGCTTCTCAAACTGCTAAACGGTGTATTTCATGCGAAAACTTTCTATATGAAAGTTGCTCTAAAATATCAGATTAATCCATTTTTCAAGTTTATAATAATTAAAACCCAATTAATCACATGTTATTACCACCTCGTTTTGCGTGAAACACTTAATCTTCATCTTCAGCAGATTCAAACGCCACCTAGAATGCTAATTTTAGCTGCTAGATGTTGTAGATCAAGGTGCGTTCGTTGTCTATGCAGCAAGTTGGAAATGCTAATGAAGTGCCTTTTGGTAAATCATCTACATACAATCGAGTATGTAAGATAGTTTACTATTAACTCGCATCAAGCTATGTGATGTATATTTCCCTTATTCTACAACCATATGTAAGTTCACTACTTGATCACTTTGACCTTAAATCCTCCTTAAACATAAAAATACTGAAACTAGCTTCTACAATAATCAGGGGAAAAAATGTGAGGTCGTATCAGAAAGACCACATATTCAAGGAGTCATATATCAAATTGTTAAATCCATACTCAGAGGCAAGTGAATACAGATTTACAAAAAATAAATTAGGTGTATAAAGCAAGTATAGAAGGAACACTTGATCATTTGTTAAAACTGCAGTACCTTTCTACTCTGGGAAACAGCATTCCCTTGAGCACGTGAGTTCCTAAGCTTCTCAACTGAAGAATAGTTGCTTTGCAGGCATTCTTCATGCATAATCAACAATTGTTCAGCGACCTGTCTGCACCAAAATAGTTCAAATTAACGTGCACATATCATGTTTCAAGCAAGTAAAACAAACACAACATTTACACACTCGACGGAAACAACACATTTCGCCATGATCATGGTGTCGAGTCTTAGATTTCTACTACAGAAGTGGAGAATGATTTCCTATTCCTTGAGCTTGATCTAAAAATTATTAGCTGCTAACACCAAGCGCCTAGGCAACACCTAGCACTGCACCTCACTGACCTATTAAGTGGTTAATCATCTTTTACATGAACAACTGGGAAGAGCATTATCCTGACTTTGGTCTTGTTAGGCTAACAAGGTTAAGGTCTTCATATGCAGAACTAGAAATGAATAAGAAAGAACTGAGAGCCATCTGAATAATCGGGTGTGTGGCACCTCACTGACCTGGGTTCAGTCATAATATCATTAACAAGCTTCTCACCTATAAGGGCAGCAAAAGTTTGCATTTCCAGTGGGATGCGAATCTATGGACTATGATGTAAATCCAGGCCTCAACAATTGCCATCTCTATGTTCAGCATGCACACACATGGTGCACACAGTTGCATGTGTGTGTTGTGAGTTGCGGTGTCAGAGCCTCAGAGGGCAAGCGTTCTCCAACAATCTCTCTACCAAAAAGCCTAGCGCCGGATTGACTTCTTGTGAAAATTAAAGGTACTATGAACTATTGAATCATCTTAGAAGAAGTGAAAGCGACATCTGCAAACCTTTTTAAAGATTTAATGCTAGAAAAAGGTACAATTCCAGAATGAAAATACAAAAGGAACAACCATGAAGCATACTTGGGGATACCACCTCCGTTTCAGGTTATAAGACTTTCTAGCATTGCCCACATTCATATATATATTAATGAATCTAGACATATATGTGTGCCTAGATTCATTAACATCTATATGAATGTGAGCAATGCTAGAAAGTCTTATAACCTGAAACGGAGGAAGTACAATTTATGAGATTAAAAGTTAATGGCATTTGCTAAATATGGATGGAGAGGAAACAATCACCTCTTCAACACTACCATCCTCAAAGTCCGCATTGAAGGATTTGGACACTGTGTCATACATCATATCCACCAAATCTTCATAATAATGTTTACCTGGACAAGAAACCTTGTTAATTTCAAAAGCAGACATGTATAAAAGTGAAGCAAGAAAAAATTGAAACCTAAAGCACACAGCAAATTCATATAAGTCATGCCAAATCATAGCAATCAAATGGCGTCCTCCAATTAAGGAATAACATAATCCTATCTTCCCCTGCATCCCCTGTTGAAATGTCAGAGAAACCGAAACTATCTGCTCATAGATAGCATAGCTTTCTTTTCAGTAGCCGCATCAAAACTTAGAATCTCGAGTCAAAAACTGAAATCTTCGTTAGAAGAAGTGCCATCTTTCTACCATTGAGTTCAATTCAACGCATAAATCCCATGTATCCTAAACCGAAACGAAAATCTCGCTGCGATAAACTAAGATAGATCAAAGGGGCACGCTAACAGTTTACCTGGATTAGATCGCACCCAAAAAACAGTACTAAAAAGTAATAACAGATGATGATGATGTTACAGGGAGGGGAAAGGAAGAACACAAGTATACCCTTGGAGTTGGCGAACCACGAGAGGATGGATTCGGCGAGCTGGTCGGCCTTGGCGCGGGAGTCGCGGCCGCCCCACTGGTTCTCCACCGCCATCTGCAGCGCCGTCCAGCGCCCGAACACCAGCCCGATCCCCTCGCCGAGGGCAGCCGCCGCCTGGGCCGAGAGCGCCCCGCCGCCGCCGCTAGTGGATCCAGCCATGGCGTGGGGAGAGAGAGAGCGCTTGGGAGGGGAGGAAGAGGGCTTGGGGTTTTTAGCCGGCGGCGGGGATGCGCGAGAGGGAGACCGAGCGGAACAAGGGTTTGGGACTTTGGGTAGGGAAAGGCTGTTTTATGCATGAAAGCCCTTGGTTTTCAGAAAAATCTGAGAAAGGGAATTTTGTAGCCTTCTGTTAGAGCCTCATCGCTTGCCCATATTTCCTAATATAAGCTAGGGGCTGTTTATTTCAGATTAAGATCATTGTAAGTTAGATTATTAAATTAGATTACTATAAGCTGGATTATAATAAGGCTCTTTTTGTTTAGGCTTATAAGCCAACTTATAAGTCGAAAAGTCTAAGCCAAAACAAACAAGCAGCTTTTTCATTTGGCTTTTTTGAAGCCATAAGCCACTCTAACACTATTAAGCCAAAAGCTAGGTTGGAGAAGCTTTTTTGGCTTATATGAGATAGATGTATGACTCCACCACTAAACTTAGGACATTAAATCCACTGGCTTATAAATCATATAAGCCAATAAGCTGACTTAAAAGTCTATGCCAATAAGCCTAAGCCTAAACAAAGAGAGCCTAAGCTATGAGTTGTTTGTTTTTTCTGGATTATTGGTGACATTTAGGGGTAGTGGGTCTTTAGCCACCCAATAATCTGAAAAAGCTTCTCTAGAGAAGATTATTAGATTATACTAATTTGACTTATAGATTATAATAATCTATTTGTTTGTTTTAGCTTACTTCTAATTAATAATCTAGATTATAATAATCCTAAGTTGAATCAAACAGGGCCTAAAACAGCTTATTAGAGAATAAAAATTAATTTATAGGTAAAAATTTTATATGGTTGTTCATAGCGATTTAAATCCAACGCTAAAAACATATTACGTTGAAAATATCTTGAAATCAACTTTAAAATCAAGTTCAAAAATTTAAAATTTGACTTTTGCTTTGACTTGTTAGGTTAACTGATGGGACTCTCAAACGGTAGGCACACATCTACAAACAAGGCACCTAAAAATCAGTTTATTTGTTTTGTCAATTGTAGGAAAATATTTCACCACACAGTGAAAAAAATTTAGTATCTTAAAATGGTGAAATATAGTCATTCATGATTGAAACATCCTCTTTCGTACATGAGAAAACAAGCTTCAACTATTGTAACATCATCAAATCTGTAAGAAATCAAAGACATAAATATAAAACATTATCAAAATACATGTGCAATATTTTAATCCAACACCAAGAAACATCAAGATACATTGGATGAAAAAAATTACATAATGTACCATTGTATACCAACTTCTTTCTTCTATGTGGTGGGCGTCTACTCTATGGTTTTCACTACAGATCCATGTTGGGATGGTGCTTATGAGACCCTTCTCCACTAAGACAGGCAACCGCCACTCTCCTGGCCCTTGCCACTTGGTTGCATGTATCTCTATGTTATACTTGTCGCTCAGCCAAACTGAAATTGGGTCACCTCGACCATCTTTCTTCAGCTCCCAACCTTACATTGTGCTGGTGTCCGCACGGCCTTTCCAGAGAGCCACACGGGGAGGACGCCTCTCATTGCCAATGGAAGCCACGATCTAACCATGCCATGGAACACAAGCAGGTGTCATGTCCGCATTCTTGGTGGAGGAGTCAGAGAGGAAGAAATAAGGAACATGGATAAGAGGGATGGTCACAGGAGTGGATAAGGATGCAGAATGGATGGTTGAGAATGGTGTACGAATTTGGTTAGCCATCAGGTGCATGAGCGAGAGTGTTCTCGAAAACAATAGGGGTTAGTTCCTTCTAATATATTGACGTGCAAACCTTTTACGCGTTCGAAAAAAACAACAAGGGTCAACTGCCCACAATTTTACACAAGTTAGAAAATAATTTTGCAAAGGTGCATAGAATGGCTGCATGAGCCGTCATACACCCTCATTGCTGTTCAGGTAAATCAAATGGTTGATATCACATTGTGGTTAAGTTGCTAGTAGTGTGATAGTGCCCTGTAGAGCTCAAATAGCTCTTGACTTAAGTACTATGTATCTAAAAGAAAGATATTAGTATAGAATGTGTAGGAGTACATAAATCTAAATGCTACAATTAACATATTGAAGAAAATAGTTGCTCTTTAACTATTGGGAGCTGATTGCCCAATCAAATTGTACTGAGCGGGGGAAAATAATTATATTTATGTATGCAAACATGCCAAGGAAAATGAAAGATTTAATCCAGTAATTCCTGTCAATCTCTAGTCAAAATAAAATCTTATGAAGGATACAAAGCTATGATGTCAAAGCAAGTTTGTTCTATTGTATCTTCGATCCAAATAGAGCTAAAAATTAAAAAAAAAATTCAACAACATGTTGTTTGTTTGTTTTATTTGATCAACATGTTGGTTATGAGAGGTACGACAACATATGCCTCAATAATACAAATAATATATAATATATTAATATAGAGGCTAATCGGTATTGCTGGCTGTAGCAGCGCAGCTGCAGCCAACTAGCCTAATGCACGCTGATTTTCTGCAGCTGCAACAGTAGGCTTGCACATATTTCTGACCAAGCTACATAAGAGATAGCTAGGAGGGCAAATGACAATTGCGATATAATGGAATGAATGAAGAGGTGATAAAGACTAATAAGATAGGTAGCCACTCATAAGGAGATACATAGAGAGTGCAGGAAGGAGGAGGGCAAGAATCGAGTTGAGCAAATGCCAATAGAATAAGGTGAAGAGGCTGAATTCCAAAGGGAAAGGGAAGACAAGCAAGAAGGAAAAAGAGAGAAACAATTAGGTAACTAAGAAACTTTCGGAAGAGATAGATGTGGCTGCAACTAAAGCAACTTCTATATAATTTTTTTTCATAAAAAAGCGCACAGTCTAACGGTTAAAAATATACAAACGAAAATCAAGAAAGAGCTAAACTGAAACGGAGTTTAGAATGCGCCAAATATGATAATAGGTGGCTAAACTAACTTGGCAATATAGGGGGTGAATGGTAGCGCTATGCAACAGTTAACTGCCATGCATCGCTGTATAATGCAACCGATCAAGTCATAATTTGACCGAGTCTCATCGATTTCCTATATTTCTTAACAAGCTATTTTTATTATTATGGAATAAAATTAATTCATAGATAAAACTTTTATATATATGCCCTTAATGATTTATAAAAGCCAATATTGAAAAAGAAACTACGTTAAAAATATCTCATGATCAATATCAAAACTAAATTTGAAAAATTCAAAATTTATCTTTGACTTTGATTTAGTAGGCAACCAATGGGACTCTCAATAACATTTTTTTAAACCTAAGGCGAAACTTTGTTCCACTTTTATATTTAGAAGAAGAGAATTGACCCAGTTTATAAGGAAAACTGGGCCCAAAAACCATACAACTGTACGTTTAATTACGGGAAACCGGCTAAAACCCACCACACATGAAAAAAAAATAAGGGACCTAGCTACACAACTAGCAACAACGGTGGAGCCCAAACGTAGGACATCATTGCCAAGCTAAAACACAAAAGCGGCCTAAATAGCTCCAACATAACATTGCAGAAGAGGTGTTATTGCTGCCGAGCTAGCCGCCCAAGCGACCCAGCAGCGTCGACTTTACAACCGCAGCGATACTGAAGCCGCGAAAGTCGCCAGAGCAAAATTCAGCTCCGACATCCAAAAATGGACATCAGCCAAGCCACTAAAGAGCCACTTCCTTCACACGGCCAGCACCAACTCCTTGGAAGAGACTGCAACATATCATCGTTGCCAAGCATCGCCGCACCCCATCAGCGAGCAGCTCCAACTTCATCAGCAGAAATTGACATGGTGTGATATTTGTGCAGCAAAGCTCATAGGACCAACTTGTAAGATATCAAAATATCAGTAGCCAATATCTCCATCAATAATAATAACAATAATAATGTAAGAAGCTGATGCTTTCTTGTCAAATTGTTCACACCAATTCGAATGGAGAAAATGGCTCCACGCCGACACCGACCACCACCCAAGCTCCTCCATCCAGGAGCACACTCTCACTCTTTTCCGGAACATTCCAGAATGATCTTCCGCGAGAAAATATCTCGCACCATAAATATCTCACCACCCTCGACTCGAGCTCGAGCCTCGCCTACGCAACCGACCACCTCATCACCCCCGAAAATATCTCCTCCTCTTTTGCGCTTTTTCTACCCGCTCCGATGGCCACCGGCGGCGAGCCGCGGGCGGCGGCGGCGGCGGAGGGCGGGGAGAAGCGGGCGGCGCTGCTGAGGGAGATCACGGAGGAAGGCGGGTTCGCGTTCGTGGCGTCGGCGGAGAAGGCGGCGGCCGACGGGGACCTCCGCGCGGCGGAGGCGGCGCGGGAGATGGCGTGGGAGCAGCTGCACGCGTGCCCGCGGAGCGAGGTCGGGCGCGCGTGGAGGGACGCCTACGCGCTCGCGTGCCTCCACGTGGCCGCGCTCCGCGTTGCCGGCGGCGGCGGCGACGGCCGACGCGCCGCGCTCCGGGCGCTCGACATGGGCCTCATCATGGGTGGCGACCTCCTCCGCGCCGAGCTGGAGGAAGCCATCGCGCGGGTGGTCGCCGACCGTAGCCGCGGCTGCGGTGGCGGTGGTGGCGACGGCGCCGGAGAGAACGGAGCTGATGTTGAGAAATGGATGGAAGGCCTAACCAGGAAACGAGACCTCGCCGATGTGAGTATTTCCTCAAACCTATCGCATCTTGGTTTCGTCCTCTGCTTGCTGTGATGAATCCTGAGTTTTGTAGTTTAGGTGCATTGGAAAATGCAGTGATAAAATTAGATAGAGCCAAAACGTGTCGCAATTTCGTACCATGTACAGCAGTAGTCCTGGTGAATTACTCACTGAATTGGTTCGCACAAGATATTTTTCTGTAACATCCACCGCCATACTACCTGAGAAGTGAGAACCCTCGAATGTGGCACTATCTCGGTGCACATTGCATCCCACATTCCCACTACCGCAGTTCTCATAAGCTCGTGGCCTCGTGCAATTGTCCGGTTCATAATTTTCACAATTTTTCCCATTATTAAGGCTGTGTTTAGATCCAGGGTAAAAAGTTTTGGCATGTCACATCGGATATACGGAATTACGGACACACATTTGAAGTATTAAACGTGGACTAATAACAAAACAAATTACAGATTCCGCCTGTAAACTTAGACAAATTTATTAAGCCTAATTAATCCGTCATTAGCAAATGTTTACTGTAGCACCACATTGTTAAACCATGTAGCAATTAGGTTTAAAAGATTCATCTCGCAATTTACACGCAATCTGTGTAATTAGTTATTTTTTTCGTTTATATTTAATACTCCATACATGTGTCCAAACATTCGATGTGACAGGGTGAAAATTTTTGCCAGGGGATCTAAACAGGGCCTAAGACCTGGATTTATTTTGAAAGTTGTATTAATTTCCATGAGATAGGAGTACAGCTACCAGATAGAGGAGATACAGAGTTTAAGGACACGCACATGCAATGTTTTGTCACCCAGCAAATTGAGGAGGTACCGAATTTTTAAGGATTTGCCATTTTAAGTGGCATGAGTGATGCACAGGTTCCAGACATCTGGGTGCACTCAACTAATGGTTGAAAAAAAAAGTTATGAATTACTCCCTCCATTCGTAATGTAAGGTGCGCACGCATTTCAAGATTCAACTTTAAAAACATTCGACTAACGATTAGTATAATATAAATTGAATTTTATTTGCTGAAAATAATATCATTGGATTGATATTTTAATATACTTTCATATGGTTATAATTTTGTTGCTACAAACTTTATTTTTTTTATTTTTTTAGAGAAGGGTATTTTTTTACTCAGCCTCTATATCCAACCGGATATATACAGCCATTTTAACTTAGGAACTTAGCCTATCAAATAGAGAACTTAGCCCTCAAATAACCCAATCTGAAATTCGCTCCTATGGAGATTTGAACTCAGGGCCTTGGGTGCTACTCAGGTCACTGCAACCACTAGGCTACATGCCCTTTCACTGCTACAAACTTTATGGTATATGAGAAATTATAAGTCAAAAATTAGTTTTGTAGACCGTACCGAGTTTGATCATACCTTATACTATGAAATAGAGGGAGTATATCTTTTTAAGTTAGGAATATTAATGCGATGTTTGGTGCCTTTCCTTTACTGGTAGTCATGTTGCTTGACATATAGAGCATATCAGTCACTGATGTTCAGCCATGTGATTTCCTAATTGGAACTTGGCTCCAGTGGATCGATTTTGTTAGTTGTGGGTGACCTATGTCAAGCCAAATGTGATCATTTTGTTTGGAATACCAAGTTACCAACAGCATCACTGAGTACATTGTTGCCCATTTCTCTGGATTCGTTGATACTCCAATTTGAGTGATTATGCTCCGTTTCTTACTTTGTTATTGTGCTGCTGTCAGCCAGTTAATATTGATTTATTTCAGGTGCTCAAAGTTCTGCCAGTGAAGTCCTTATCTTGTAAGCAAATCGAGAGGCGATCATGCATTTCTTTGGAGGCATTTATACGTGATTACTTTTTATGTGAGTCCCCTGTTATACTCAGTGGCTACATCGATCACTGGCCTGCACGGACAAAGTGGAAGGACATAAGATACCTAGAGAGGATTGCAGGAGATCGGACTGTTCCTGTTGAGGTATACTTATGTTTTATGCATCAATTTACCGTTATAAAGTGTTGTTATTCCACTCCTCAATTATGAAAGAACAATTTGCATTTTTTGGGGAAAAAATGAATTAGTAGTTATGCTGTTCATAAATAAATAAGGTGATACTGAAGGACTGTTTTTAATCTTATTCATCGATAAAATGGTGACTTTCCAGTAAGTGGTTTGTGTACTCCCTCTTGACCTCAATTCAACAGGTCTCACAAGTATTTATTATTGTAAGAGCTTTTCTGTTCATATTTATCCTTGCATTATGATACCTTATATTCCTATATATGATGTTAATTTGAGATGTGCTGCATAGAGGAATTGAATTGCATGTTGAAACTAGCATATTCTGCCTTATAAATCCTATCCATCCAGTGTGCTTCAAAGTTGATGCAAACTTTCAAAATCCAAATCATACCATGTCCTTGCAAAAATGTCAAGGCATACTTTGGATGGATAGGACAATCCGATAATGAATGAACTTACATATATGTGTGGAGCTGCATCCTCAACAGCTGGATCTTCTAAACAGATCGATTCACATGTTTTATATTTGGAAATTGGCATAATCTCCTAAGCTTATTTTCTTTGTTTTACAATATAGATTACTATTGTATATCATCGGTTTAATTCTGTTGCTTTTTTCGCAGGGTTTGAAATTTGCCAAGTTTCTGTTTTACCATTTTTGTGCCATCTAGTATTGTAGTATGTAAAACATGACCTGAAAAATCCTCCTTTAAAAACTGGTTATCTTCCATACTATCTTCTTGCATCTGTTCATGTGATCTACCAAAATGCATGTCTATTCAAGTGTTCCGTACGTCCTTTAGCATATCTTTTTTAAAAACATTTTTATGTCCTTAGTGTAGTTCTGCTTCAAATAAATTGGGACTTCTTTCTTTGTTGAATGGTGTTCGAACTGATCATTTTCCCTTTTCTTATAGATGTTCCCAGTGCACTGATATAAATAGTGGTGTCTCAGGTTGGAAAAAAATATTTGTCTAGTGAGTGGAAACAGGAGCTTATCACATTTTCTCAGTTTCTTGAGATGATGTGGTCATCTGATTGTTCTGCAAACTTGACATATCTAGCGCAGCATCCACTGTTTGACCAGGTGATCAATTCTCCATATGCTTGAGTTTATACACATAAGGAATTAGCAGTTGCCATCTAATAGTTGATGGTACTCAACATTTAACAGATAAAAGAGCTCCGTGAAGACATAATGGTTCCTGAATATTGTAACGCTGGTGGTGGGGAACTCCAAAAGCTCAATGCCTGGTTTGGCCCTGAAGGGACGGTTACACCATTGCATCATGACCTGTATCATAACCTTTTTGCTCAGGTATCTCAATCTCATGAATATGTTATTCTCGATCCTTTGGTGTTTAATTTCAGATTACTTCTGCTTCAATGCAAACAAAGTTATTCTTCTTTCTTACAACTGCTTTCCATGAATTTTTTCAAGAGCTAATTTAATTTATAATGCAGCTACTTTTCTTTTGTTACTTCGTAATGTGATACTACTCCATTTTCATTGTATGATAATTCGGGTTTCATGACATTTTAGATTTTTAGTTGTATTATCTATATTTATTCTCTACCTAGTTTATATACACTTTTAATTTTGTAATTTGCGGAGACTAGGAGCTTTGGAATGTGCAGAACTAATGTCTCTCAGGTTTATAGAGGGTTGTTAATCGTCAACAGTGGCAGTAACCATCTATCTTAGTTGAGACACACATCAACCCATAATATTATTGTAACATGTATCGTTTTCCTTGGCCCATGAACATCCTGAAGAAGTTCAATTGATTAGTTCTTGCAATTGATTAGTTCTTGAGTTCAATATTGAGAAGTAGCATAAGACAAATGGAGTGCACAGTTGTTATTGCCACCAAAACATGTTCTCTAGTAGTATTATTCCTTCCTATAGTAGAAGTATTTGTCGAACTATTTTGTTTGTATTCAAATGCCCACGAGTAAATCTTCCTTTCTTGGACTATACTTGTCTGTTTTTCTCCAAAAAGGGAAACCCTCAGATACTGGTATTCATCCAACGCGTAGATCACCCACTCTGTTTTGAGATCACTGGAATGTTTGCACTGCACCAAAGCTCATATTCCGATAAAAGGTTGTGGCCATATCCAAAATGGCTACATGTAAGTTTGTAGCTTCTGTTGGCTGCTGTAACAATTGAGGTTATCCATTACTGAATTTTATTTGGTGCGGTGAGGACTTCGTTTAGTTTTCTCAATATTTGCTGTTCTTCACAGGTCTTGGGCAGGAAATATTTTAGACTCTATTCTGCTTCCATCTCCAATGACCTTTACCCTCACAGAGAAACTATGCTAAGCAATATTAGTCAGGTGCGTAGTCTCTTAATAATCTGGAACAAAAAATTTGAGTTCAGTTGTGTTTTAAACACAATATGACAAACAATGAGACCAGATTTTCTTCTGGTTCGCCTGGTCATCATTTGCTTCTTTTTGTCCAACAAGTTATCCATGTTCCTCTCATCCTGAGCCTTTGCTGTCATATATTTATGAAACTAAGCTTACTAGTTGCAAGTAAAATTGATCATCACGGAACTCAATTCTCTGAATCAATGTCTGGGCAGGTAGATCTTGACAACATTAACGTAAATGAGTTCCCGAGGACAGGAGACGTTGAATTCATGGACGGCATATTGGAGGAAGGTGACCTGCTTTACATTCCACCAAAATGGTGGCATTACGTTAGATCTCTCTCTACTAGTTTCTCTGTTAGCTTCTGGTGGCGAACGTCAATTCCTCCTCCTCAGGGCTCGTAATGTTATTGTTTTGATCATCCATGACGTTTGCGTTTCTATCATCAGATGTTAGAAACCCAAGAAAAACTTAATTGAACCCATGTTTTATGATCCACTATTTTGTGGGTACGGCCTTGTTACGGTCCGTGTATATCATACTAGCGTGTGTTACAATCTTCTAGTACTTCTGTATGACCAGAAACAACCGGGATAGTCCTAGGGGTAAAGCCACAGAGGCACACAATTCACAAAAACAGTGCCAAAATTAGACATCTCTGGCTTTTAAAGAAGTGAAAACTGATTATGCTGTAATGTACTCCCTCCGTCCCATAATATAAGGGATTTTGACATTTTACTTGTACTGTTTGACCACTCATCTTATTTAAAAAAAATTGTGCAAATATAAAAAAACAAAAAGTTATGCTTAAAATACTTTGGATAATAAAGTAAGTCCAAAAACAATAATAATTTCAAATTTTTTTGAATAAGACGAATGGTTAAACAGTGCAAACAAAATGTTAAAATTGTCAGGGTTACGAGTTAGGTATACCCTTTACCCTTCGATATACGTCGCATATCGGTATGGCATACCCACGCGCATACGGATATTCTCTGCACACATTAAGGAAATCCTTCACGGAATTTACGGATGGAAAGAGTTCTACTCGGACAAGGCTGGGTCGTCAATGTATCGTGTAAGGTCTGATGTCTCCAAGTTCTACTTGGAAACTGCTTGATCTGCGATATAAAAGGGACCCCCCAGGGAGGACCTAAGGCATCGAATCTCAGAGCCAACACAACCCTCACAGCCTACGAAATCGGAGCCTACATGAGCCAAATCGCCGGGAATCTAGTCGAACCAACTCAACCACGATCTCGCCGGATCCATCGAGTTCCATTGTTCCCTTTGTAACCTGTGTTTTCCATCATATAATCCCACATCAACTGGATTAGGGCTATTACCTATCAAGGGGCCTGAACCAGTATAATCTTCGTCTTTTGTCTGCTTGATGTCGTCTTACGTAGATCCTGTACCAACGTACCCCAATATCCTCTATATCCGGTCTACGGGTATCACCCGTCGACAGTGGCGCGCCAGGTAGGGGCACTTGGTGCTCAAGGTTCTACTACTATGTCATCCAGCTTCGTCGACAACAGCGTCAACACCAACCTCAACCAAGTATTCCCTGCTTCAACAATGCTGGTGTGGACTCAAGTCGACGAAATCGTCTTCCCGGTTTACACCACAATACCGATCTCAGCCGGTCCATCAATGACTGGAAACAAGAACGCAGTGGCTACAGACCAAGACGACTCCTTGTCGAAAGATCCTCCCGCCGAGGCAGAGAACGGAACATCGACGACATCCGAGCTCGAGAAGGATTCTAATGCGGCCAAACCTTGTTGTCCCGACATGAACCGTGAGCCGATGAAGATGACTTCCGAAGCGACAAAGTCCTGGTGTCCTATCCACAAAACCAGGAAACACACTTTGCAAGCCTGCTGGGTTTTTCTCAACGTCCGCGCTGAAATTCGCGCCTGCAAAGAGCGTGGAATTCAGCGTATTTCTCCAACTCGTGATGTCTATTATCCTATTCACAAGACAAAGAATCACGACCTCTCCAGCTGCAAGGTCTTTCTCAGCGCCATGAAAGCGCCATCTCCTAAAGTCCAACAGTCACACATCCCCATCAGGGATAAAGACAAGGAACAAGGAGCGATGCCAACCTCAGATCGATTTGTTGGGGTAATCGATATCGATCCCCACGAACCATCAGTCTTGCACCTTCTCGTAGACTATGGATCATCGAGAACGAGCGCGCCGCGGGAGGTATTGGCTATCGATGATGTCGGCACGTCAGCGCGCACCAATGCAGAAGCGGAGAATCAATTGGCCACTCCAGCCCAGCACATCAGAGCCGTCAACGCTATACTGAGGAAAACCCCCTACGATCCTGTTCTGAACGATGATCTCGCACGTTGGACAGAACGACTACGGGAATCAGTGACCAACCTCAGCAACGCGTTCGGAGAGGCCGCTGCCGCAGCGCACCCGGAGCAGCCACCAACTGGCGATGCCAATGGTGAAGACCCTGAACGGAGGGAATCGCCTCATCGAGCTACCCCTCCACCTGGCGGCACTGGCGATCTCCGAGATCACCTCAACGGCCGCCGAGAGGCACGACGCACACGAGACAACGAGAATCGTTCCCGGCGTCATGTCTCTTCACGGCGCCATGATAACGAAGATCGAGGAGACCGCTCAAACGAAGACCGAGACTATGATAACCGCCACCACCGCCACGATCACAATGATCGCGAACGGCGGGTGCCAGGTGATACTAGTCGAGGACGTCGCCATAATGACGACGATGATGGAGACCGTCGCCGAGACAACAGCGGGAGACAACGACAGGACTCTCGAGATCCAGGCCGACATCCTCGTAACCGTACGCCGGAACCGAGCGACCCATCATCATCGTCATCATCCTCGTCTTCTTCATCATCAGACAGACATCCACGAAGGACACACGATCGCCGACAACCCACCGTCCCCAGCGCTAGGTGTAGAGCTTTCAGTCGTTCCCTGCGTGATGTCCGATGGCCTGAGAGATTCCGACTTGGAGCAATAGAAAAGTACGATGGGAGCACCGACCCAGAAGAGTTCCTTCAAGTCTACTCCACAGTACTCTACGCTGCCGGAGCAGACGATAACGCATTGGCGAATTATTTGCCAACTACGTTAAAAGGCTCTGCACGTTCATGGCTGATGCATCTCCCGCCCTACTGAATCTCTTCGTGGGCAGACCTATGGTAGCAGTTCGTCGCCAACTTCCAAGGAAACTACAAGCGCCACGCGATCGAAGACGACCTACACGCGTTGACACAGAACTCGGGTGAATCCTTGAGGGAGTATGTTCGGCGCTTCAACGAGTGCAGAAATACAATCCCCGAAATCACCGACGCTTCTGTAATTTGCGCCTTCAAATCCGGTGTCAGAGATCGCTATACTACTCAGGAATTGGCGACAAGACGCATCACAACTACTCAGAGATTGTTCGAAATTGTTGAGCGATGCGCCCACGCAGATGATGCGCTAAGACGCAAGAATGATAAGCCGAAGACCGGGGGAGAGAAGAAACCAGCCACGGACGCACCTGAGTCAAGCAAGAAGAAAAATCGCAAAAATAGGAAAAGGAAAGCTCAAGCGGAAGACCTCGCAGCAGAATACGCGAACCCTCCCAAGCGCCCAGACCCACAGAGTAGCGACACAAAGAAAGCATGGTGCCCCATACATAAGATGGACAGACATTCTTTGGAAGATTGCCTTGTTTTCAAAAAATAACTCGAGAAGCACATTGCATTTGAAAAGGGCAAGCGAGTATGCGTGGTCGAAAAGGATGCGGAGGCGGCTCCCCAGGAATCGGATTCAGCATATCCAGACTTTGACCTCCACGTTTCACACATCTTCAGAGGTTCCACAACGTACTCCTCGAAGCGAGAGTACAAGAAAGTGGAACGCGAAGTCTGTTCGACATGGTAGGGGGCTGCACCCAAGATGAAGTGGTCTGAACAGAAGATAGAGTTCTCGGAAGAAGACCACCCCAAGACCGCCATCATCCCAGGACGATATCCGATCGTGGTCGAACCCACTATTCAGAACATCAAGGTCACGCGGGTTCTCATCGATGGTGGCAGCTCAATCAACCTTCTTTTCGCCAGCACTTTGGACGCGATGGGAATTCCGCAAAGCGAGTTGACACCAACCGATCAACCCTTTCATGGAATCACTCCCCAATCCTCGTCCAGACCATTGGGCAAGATTACGTTGCCTGTGACTTTCGGCCAAGCTAATAACTTCCGAACGGAGCAAATCACCTTTGATGTCGCTGAATTCGATACAGCTTACAACACCATCATCGGGAGAACTGCACTTGCGAAGTTTATGGCCGCATCTCACTACGCGTATCAAGTGCTCAAGATGCCGGGACCGAAGGGAACAATCACTATTCAAGGGAACGCAAAGCTGGCGGTGCAATGCGACAAACGGAGCCTCGACATGGTCGAGCAAACGCTCAGCCCACCCGCCACGACTGAGCCACCCAAGAGAGTGAGCAAGACAAACAAGACACCGAAACCGGACGGCGCAATCAAGATCGTTCCACTCTCCAGTGCCAACCCCGACAAGACCATCAAGATCGGGGCGGCACTAAGCGAGAAATAGGAACTCGCGCTCATCACCTTCCTCCGCGACAATGCTGACGTGTTCGCTTGGTAGCTGTCCGACATGCCGGGGGTCCCCAGGGAGGTGATTGAGCACAAACTCATGGTGCGACCCTATGCCAAGCCAGTAAAGCAAAGACTGCTGTCACGTCCCAAAACGACTCTAAAATATATCCTTTAAATTATGCCTAGAATAATTAAAATCCTTGTGAAAGCCTCCAAAAATTAAAATGTGCAAAGTAAAAGTCAAACAAGGCTTAGAGGATTTTTGTATATTTCCTAAAAGTCTAAAATGTGTAAATAAATTTTAGTGGAATTCTCAGAGCACAAATAATAATTATTAAGAAATAAACAAAGTTGAAAAAAAGTTTTATAAAAAGAAAAACCCTAAAAGTCCCTCTTCCCTCCCTTGGGCCGGCCCGGCCCATCTCTCCCCCCTCTCTCTCTCCTCTCCCCCGCGGCCCATTCGGCCTCCCTCCCCGCGCGCGCGCTGCTGATGGGCGGGCCCGCCCGCCACCCTCGCTGACGGGTGGGGCCCACCCGTCATCCCCTTCCTCCCGCTGCTCCCGCCGCCTCCCCCGCGCCTAGCGCTGCCGCCGCCGCCGAATCCGCCGCATCCCGTTGTCCCCGCGTGCAATCAATAGGGGGGAATTATTCCCTGTGATTCCCTCTCCCTTTCCCCCCAATTTTCCCTCTCTCTCTCTCCCTTGGATTCGTTTGGAAACCCTCCCCTAATCCCGCCGGCGCCATTGATGGAGCCCGAGAACGCTGCGCCGGTTTCCTTCCCCTCCGGCCGCTCTCTTCCCCTTCCAACCCTATTTAAACCCTCCCCGCACCTCCTCCGTCCGTTTCCGCCTCTCGCCGCCCTTCCTCCTCGCCGGAATCGAGCTCGCGCCGTCGCCCTCTCTCTCCTCCGTCGCCGATGACCTCCGGCCGGCTTTCTCCGCTCGCCGGGACCGTCTCCCGCCTCGGCGCCGCATCCTCGCCGACCTCGTCCACCTCTCCGTTTCGGTCGCCGACCGCCGGAACGCCGTCGACCCCGTCGACCCGAGCCGCGCCGCCGCCTCCCTCCACTCCGGCCGCCTCCTCCGTCGCCGCCGTCGCCCCGAGGTGAGCCGTGGACCGTCGCCT